TACTGAAACTATGGTGGTCTATGCAATCGCATTTTGTTCTATAATAAAACAATCTTTAAGTCTTTGACATAAATTCAAATTTTCTAGTTCCTCTATCTTTGCAACCTGGTGGTGTGTACCTTTGTTATTTCAACTTTAATTATTTTCTCTAACAGAATTCAGAAAATGAAATATCCAAGGTCTACAAGATTGGGTTGTAAAATTATAGGGATTAGAAAGACTCAACTCCTTGTTTTATACTTTTTATTTAAACACGCATCTGTAGACAAAAAAAAACTAAAATGGAGGAAAGATGAAAATCTTTTCTTTCATTAAAGGTAAAATTGTGATAGAGAAAGTTACAACTATAGTTCTGCCGGCCTAATTTGTTGCATAAAACGTGCTGAATCATCCATATATTAGGTACACTAGACAGGCTGATACGAGTAAACAGTACTCTAGGCAATCCTTGTACTGGTTCGTACATGCAGCTTTTAAACTTATTTGTCTCAGCTTTCTGGGAAAAGACCGAACTGTTGAATCCACGTGAAAATTATAAGGATATGTTTATTACAGGCTTCCCAGTTTTATTTTATTTGTATATTTTTGCTCAATATTCAACAATCTACATATATACTTTGCTTGTCTTTGTTGGTTTATTTGTATCTAATAAACGTCAAAACGGCTGAACCGAACGGGTCCAAATTTTGTGTGGGAACTTGCATGACCCCAGGGAAGGTTTATGGATTCAGAATCATATTAGCGCGAAGCGCCCTGATAGCCTAGCACAAAAAATTATGTATGACAAAGATTTATTTGTGTTTTTTCACAATTTAGAAAAACTTATATTTTTTATCACTTTGCAAAATTGTTTTGAGTTGAAATATTTTCATGTAACTCGGCCATTTAAGAATTCTGATTAACACTGTGTATTTTATGTTTCTATAGCCTTGAGGCATTTAATAGCTTAATAACGGTTCAGATGAAACAGAGAATAAACCGTTTTTATCTAACACCAGCTCCGACTCCGAGCATAGTTAGAAAATTAGCACCTTAAATTCACCAATCAGAGAGTCACATATCTAACCAATGAGAGTGAAGAGTTTAAATGAAAGGTGTGCAATTTCACACCTGGATCCTGGACCAATCAGAGGGCGAGATATTTCACACCTGGAGCCTAGACCAATCAGAGGGCGAGATATTTCACACCAACCTGATTCTACCAATAGCAGAGCAGAGACAGGGAGAGAGGAGGTGTGAGATAAACAGTAGACGAAGTATACACAGTATACACTCCAATAGAAATCTTACATGTTTTCAAATCATAACTCCTGTTTTGAAAAGCTAGATCGAAGATGCAATTTAATAAATAAATTAAGTCTTTGCCCTTTCTATTATTTAAAAATATCTGCAAAGGTTTACGTAAATTTTTGCAGATATTTTAATTTTCGATTATTTGAGCGCAACCGAATTCAAAGTTTGAAATATCTAAGGTTTTCGATATTTTGTTGCAAAGATACGGGAATTGGAAAATCTGAGTTTATGGCAAAGACTCAATTCTTTTGATTTTTTTTATTAACTTGGGCGTTAATTTTACAAAAATCTGTTTATAGATTGTATAGAAAAATTGTTCAATTAAATTGTTTTGATGATAAATGACCATACATGGTTGTTTCTATGGAAAAATATCAATTCCGTAGTTTTAAAAAATCCAGATATATATAATTATATATATATCTACATTCGGTTACAAGATTATATAAAGATATAAAAGTTTATTTAAAAACTAATCTGAGAAATTTATATTTAAAAAATCTTTAATTTTTTTCCTTAAAATTATATTTTAATCTGATGGTTTGGTTTATAATGTTGAATATAGTTTCTGGTGTCTCTTTTTGTGTTTGCGATTTGAGGTCCAAGGTTATAATGCAAGGAAAGTTAATTGCGGTCGCGTATACTCTGCGTACATATTGAAACCAGTTCTCTCTGGGCGGAATTTGTAAACAAGAATATATGCATCAGTGTTCGTCTAGTATCCGAGGAGGATAAAAACATTTAATTTTGATAATTTTGAAAATTCACATAATAGTTTCCTATGACCATATTATTTTATTGATTTTTTATGTGAAAGATGGATCCCATGTCAGGCTGTGACATCCGTCTTGTGTTTACATTACCACCCAGAGACAGTATACTGCAGTACAAAACATGCGTACAGCTTTGAAATAACTTTCCTTGCGTCTGTCTATGTGTGGCTGTACTTGTTTGTGTGTATGGTGTCAGTGTGTCTGTCTGTGTCTGTGTGTGGGATTTCACGAGTTATTAAGTAGAAAGCTGCGAACAGTTAAACTGAGATATATTTTACAGTAAAACGGGGCAATCCTATATCATCGATCTATCTATCTATCTATCTATCTATCTATCTATCAATCTATCTATCTATCTATCTATCTATCTATCTATCTGTCAATCTATCCAAGTTTTGTATCTAAACGCATTTATCATAATGCATCAGACCTAAATGTATTCTGTGGTATATTTATCACTACTCCACTTGTTTTTATATTTCATAAAAATGCTTTGGGCAAGAAATAATCATTTCCATATGGAATCTAGACACATTGCTCTTTAATGTCATGTATTTTTCTAAACATACATATTTTTATACAGGGTACATTACTTTTAATCAGTTGCCACTTTTCAAGAGTAAACAGAAAATAATAAAGAAAAATTTACCAATTGTAAAAAATTGAGTAAAATAAGTATAATTTTCAAATAAAACATTAAAGAAATTAAATAATAAAAATAATTTGTAAATCAAGGTACGGAGCGATCCGAATTTTCAAATATTTACGCAGATATTTCTTAAACTATTGATTATAAAGATTTTACATCTGTAATATAAGATTTCGTGGAGACTGCACTTCCGTGTTATCATGCAAAAAGTTTAAAATCAATGCTGCATGAGTTGATATTATAGACATTCAATAATATTAAAATTCTACATAGTTCTTGCTATGCAAGCTAACCTAAGAAAAGTTATCCATGCACGCTGCTAACCTAAATTGAGCTATTTACACAAACTATATAAACAATATATATGCGGCATGTTAAAGTTCCAAAAAGTGTATTTTTATATTCTACACATAGGTCGTGAACGTTTTTAGTTTATTTAAAATAGCTCCCCATCCATCCTACCCAGTTGTATTTATCTCCCCCCCTCCCCTCACTCCCCCCTCCCTTTTCAAAGTATTGAGTCGGACGGGGGGGGGGAGGGGTAAGATATCTGAACAGCTTTGCTATGTAGATCAATGTAGCCGGATCTCGGTTAATTGATCCTGTAAAACAACTGGAGTGGATTACAGGATTATAGAGTGGTTTTCACGACTTCTTCGGGATATTCAGGTTTTAGTTCGGGATTCATTGGAATATTTAGTTTTTCAGAGAATAAAATGGAATATTCAGTTTTAAGGATTCTTCGGAATATTCAGGTTTCAGTTTGGTATTCAATGGAATATTTTCCCCCCCCAAGGAATATAATGGAATATATGGTTTGGAGGAATCTTCAGAATATTCAGATTTTACTTCGGGATTCATTAGTATATTTTTTTTTCAAGTAGTATATTGGAATATATGGTTTTTAGGAATCTTCAGGATATTCAAGTTTTAATTCGGGATTCATTAATATAGCATATTTAGTTTTTTCAATAGGTATAATATAGAATATGAAGTTTTAAGGATTCTTCGGGATGTATGTTCTGGTTTTAGTTTGGGATTTATTAGAATATTCAGTATTTCAGGATGGAGTATATAGGGTTTTAAGGATTCTTCAGAATTTTCAGGTTTTAACTCGGGATCCATTGGAACGAATATAATGAAATATGAAGTTCTAAGGATTCTTCTGGATATTCAGGTGTTAAGTTGAGATTCATTGGAATATTAAGTTTTTTTTCCCAGAAATATAAAAAAATTTAGGTTTTAGATTGGGATTCATTAGAATATTCAGTTTTTCAGGGACCATATATGTATTTAAGGTTTTATAGATTCTCCAGGTTTTACAGGTTTCAGTTTGAGGTTTATTGGAATATTTAGTTTTGCAATTAGGGATTTTTCATGTTTAGGAATTTACAGGATGTCTTCTTCAGGATTCCTTGAAACATTTAGATTTTTATCCGGGATTCAGTGAGATATTCAGGTTTTTGATTCGGGATTCATTGGGATATTCAGGTTTTAATTCGGGATTCATTGGGATATTCAGGTTTTAATTCGGGATTCATTGGGATATTCAGGTTTTAATTCGGGATTAATTGGAATACTTAGTTTTTTCAAGGAATATAATCAAATAAATGGTTCTCATTTGCATTTAATTCGGATATTTATTTTGGATTCATTGGGAAATGTAGTTTTTAGTTTAAGGTTAGTTTAAGTTCATTTGGATATACGGATTTCACTTTAAGATTCTTCAATTCGGGATATTTTAGCTTTTTTTCAGAACTTCAGATGATTAAGGTTTTTATTTTATATACATTAAATTTATTTAACAATTTAATATTCATCTAGATGTTTGGAGGTTTCTTCATCTATTGAACCAACATTTTTAAATTTTAAATTTAATTTTTAAAAAGTTTGGAAGCTTGCAACACAAAATTTTGCAATTGCTAACACATTTAGACACCTTCTTAGAAAAGGTTTAATTCGATATAATTTTCTTGGAGATGCATTAATTGCCAAATTCTTTTTACTTCGTGTTTTATAATATTCAAGATCTTAAATATGTTTTTTGCTTTTAATAAAATTAACACTTTATAAATTTTACTGCATATTCTATCTATCTTTCTATCTAATCTGCATCAAGTCTAATGGTGGAGCTGTATTGGGTTGAGTTGTGTCTCTCTCTAAAATGTGAAAATATTTGTATAGTAAGCTATTACGGGTGTATATTGTATGGTGGTGTGTATATAGACCCCCCTGGAGCAGGCTGCACTACAACCTAGCACTGTCTCGCCTCGCCTCTCGCCTTACGCGCTATTACTGGCGGCGTGGGGTGCCAGGTTTTCAGCTCTCTCCGCCGCCAACCAACCCGCCGCCGCCGCCAGCAAACATATAGTTGAGAACTTGTCATCCTGAGGTGCAGACCATTAATCAGATATCTCCTGTATATACACTACCCGTGTACAGTACACTGTACTGTAGCAGTACATATAGTTATCTAATGTGCAAGACCTAATGTTGATGTGTATCTATGATGTCCCCCTGTATGCCTAGTCCAAACATGGCATTTTCATCTCCCTTTATGCACCGAGATATGGGGCTTGCTGGACTACTTCCTCATAATATACCCTGCTCTCTACCCTTCCCTGGACTAGGACCTACCAATAGTTTCAGTACTCCCTACGGATATCCGGGACATTTCCCACGTCTTCCTTTTGGAGGATTTCCCGTTCGTCCGCCCCCACCAGAGGACGATAATGTTCAGGACGATCCTAAAGTTACTCTTGAACATAAAGAACTCTGGGAGCAGTTTCATAAATACGGGACGGAGATGGTTATCACTAAAACTGGGAGGTAAGGATGTTCCAATGGTTCTAATCCCCTCCCTCTGCACTCCCGTTCCCCCCCCCCCTCTACACTTCCGTTCTATCTCTAGATATTCAATCTTAAACTGGAGAAATCCTTAGAACTTCAATATAATCCGATTTATCCAATAAAAAGGACACTACTCCGTCGGAACGAGGTCAAAGCAAAAATCTTTGGAAACTTAAAATTGAAAACACAAACATCAATTTCTTGAAAATTAAATATCCAACTTTTCTTTTCCTTTTCTAGCATGTCTTATTCAAGCTTTATATTTCATTTTCTTTTTTACATTTTAGCTTTAATTTGATGGTTTTATTAAATTAGAATTTTTTGATTTAATCTTCTTTATAAGATATTTTCTTCATATCTTTCCGGTTCTATTTTAATCGAATTTTTCATTTTTCTCTTTGTTTGTCCTTCTTATTTTTTGTCAATTATTTACATACTTTCTTAGAAATAAGAATTACCGGGCCAAAACTCCTTTCTAATTCTTTGCAACCTAATGTCGTACACTATTCATCCTGTTTAGATCAGATTGTCAAATTTTAAAATATTGATGATTTACACCACCAAGTTGCAAAGATGATGTGAATAGAAAATTAGGATTTGCGACGAGTAATCAGACTTTTTTCACTTTCCCTCAGAAAACCGCCTCCCTCCCCCCGCATCCTAAAAATATTCTTGTAAAACATAATCAATTCTATTTAATGTTCCGTCTAAAACATGTTCTCAGATAAATGTAATCTCAGTTAATGTGACAAAATTCGCTTCAGTTTCCACTTTTTGAATATTATAAAATAATTTAATAAGTTTTCATGTTTCCCGTTATTTGTGTCGTGTTTTGCAACGATTAATCATGCCGGCGAGGAGGGATCACATGATATTTGATATATACGTTTAGAAAATATGCACAAGTACTAAATCTTGAAGATTTTTTGTTTTATGTGAATATTTTTGTCAAGACAATTAAACAATAAGGAATAAGATGAAAATAGCAAAGCCCTATTTTGTAATTTTTACTTGTTTTCAAAGTACAATTTTGCTTAAAGCTCTAAGTTTAATAATAATATGTGTTTAGGTTTTTTTGTAAAGATCTTTCAATATTCTACACCAAGAAATCAATTGAAAATTCGATAAATATTTAAAGAGTTAAACTTTAAAAGATACAATTTCCAGAAATAAAAACTTGCAACGTGTTATTACAAAATGGTTATTACTCTACAGGAGGTGTGATTTTTGTACAGGGTGTTTCAGAACAAAGGTTGAAACAAGTTTTTTTTGACACCCTGGTGTTTTCTGGGAGTAAACTAGTATAGTGACTAGTAACCCCCTATATNATCAACAATACCTAAGGGGGGGCGCCCAAAAATGTTGTTTGAGTCTATATTTACCGCCCTGGATCTTAAATTCCATGAATTCAAGATGACTATCTTAAGTTGACCGCAAGTTTTCACCAGTATTTTGTTTAAATGTTTCAGAGTTCTAATTCTTCATGTTGATTCACAGCAATACAAACAGTTAGGAATATTATGCAGCAATTATTAAAAACGGGCCAATATTCAGATTTCCTTCTAAATGTATCAGAATTCCGAAACCATATTCTGTAAAAGTTTTATGCAAACTAAAAATGCAAAAATGTCATCTTAGGAAAAGATAAAAGATGCAAATTAACCCAAACATGACCGTTTTTAGTTCACTTTTGGCTTTGCTTTGGGCTCTGATCAGAGTTTGTGGCAAAGACTCAAATTCTTTAGCAACGTGTAAGTAAGGCAACAGTTTATAAAACAACAATTTTTAAATCTTTTCAAATGTTTGCGAAACAAACAAAAGCCTAAAAAATTTCAGAAAACTAACCTAACCATTGGCAGTCTCTAGGTGTAAAACATATATATTTGTTTCATACAAATCAAAGAGAAAACTTTCGCTTCAAAGATTGGACAAATTTAAAGAATAAGTTTTTTATCATGTTTTGCTTTGTACCCTCCTGGTGCTATATTTTACTTGAAGTTTAACACAGTTTGAGATTCAGTTTGCTTGACTGGGTGGGAATAAGAAGGATGAGGGGGTGGGNCCCCCCCCTCTCTCTTAAATAGATGTTAAGCTCAGTGTGTTATACTATATTTGTAACACACTAGAGTGTAATATTGTCACTCACAAAAGAGGATGAAAGAGTGGGGGGGGAGGGGGTAATCCTTATCTGTGTGCCCCCCCACCCCTCCTCTCAATTATTTTGAGCACTATATTTGGACCAAAGATGAAACGAAAAGTTGGAGAGCGTTTAACATGGAATAGAGAGTACTAAATATATTGTAAATTGTTGGAAAGAAAACTAAGAAAAAATGAAAAAAGAAACAAAATTTTACACAGGTGTTTTTTATCTAAACATTTCAAACTTTTTTGAAAAATTTTGTTTTTATATTCGATAAACATTGTTTATTATATGTTTAACAACTCGGCGTTCATGTTGTCGAGACAGATGAACATTGCCGAGCGTCCGACAGACAGACAGACAGACGAAAACCCAAACAGACTGACAGACACCCAGACCGACCATTCCCATTCCCAACTCTACAAGTTATATCTTAATTTTTCTTATTTATTTAACAAGAATTGGTAATTATCAGTTTCTCTGAAAACTATTTTAAGCAATTTAGACTTAAACTTTACAATTGAGTTTTCATCCAAATATGGTTGAACTATTCATAATCCTCAGATTTTAGTCAGAAACCTAGGATTGTATGTCCAATACTGAGAGTCAACTACTAACTTGAGATTAAAATACAAAGTTTAGATGTTTTCTTAAAAGTTTTAGATTTTACTCTTCAATCTGAGAATTCTTAATATAACCTTGAGATTTCAATTCTACCCGGAGATTTCGATCCTTCCACGAGATTCAATCCAACCCTGAGATTTCAATCCAACCCTAAGATTTCAATCCAACCCTGAGATTTTAATCCCACCCTGAGATTTCGATCCTTCCACGAGATTCAATCCAACCCTGAGATTTCAATCCAACCCTGAGATTTCAATCCAACCCTGAGATTGCAATCCAACCCTGAGATTACGATTCTTTCTCGAGATTTCCATCAAACCTTGAGATTTCAATCCAACCCTGAGATTTCTATCCAACCCTTAGATTTTAATCCCACCCTGAGATTTCAATCCAACCCTGAGATTTCAATCCAACCCTTAGATTTTAATCTCACCCTGAGATTTCAATCCAACCCTGAGATTTCGATACAACCCTGAGATTTCAATCCAACCCTGAGATTTCAATCCAACCCTGAGATTTCAATCCAACCCTTAGATTTTAATCCCACCCTGAGATTTCAATCCAACCCTGAGATTTCGATCCAACCCTGAGATTTCGATCCAACCCTGAGATTTCAATCCAACCCTGAGATTTCAATCCAACCCTGAGATTTCAATCCAACCCTAAGATTTTAATCCCAAAGCTGAAATTTTACTCAACACAACCCTATGATTGAACACTCTTGTATGGAGTGTAACTTAAAAATCTGTCTCAGTCCCTTTATTTTTTTCATTTTTTAGGCAAATGTTTCCCCAGATGAAGTTTCGTCTCTCCGGTCTGAATCCTAAAGCAAAATACATTCTTCTCTTGGACGTTGTGGCCGCCGACGATTTTAGATACAAGTTCCACAACAGCCGATTGACAGGAAACTAATCGTCTTTATTCTTCTTCTAGACAATCTTGAACTCGATGCACAAGTACCAGCCGAGGTTCCACCTGGTGAGGGCCAGCGACATCCTGCAGCTCCCCTACTCTACCTTCAGAACCTATGTGTTTAAAGAATGCGATTTTATTGCTGTGACAGCTTATCAGAATGAGAAAGTCACCCAGCTAAAAATAGACCATAATCCCTTTGCCAAGGGCTTTAGAGATACAGGGGGAGCCAAAGGAATGAAAAAGTAAGTTATTTCTAATAGTAGAACTAGTGTTTTAGTGCGCTTCGCGCCCCCTTTCTTTTAAATATTTTTAGTTCCTAACTTTTGCTCTGAAAGTCGGTAAATTTTATTTCATTTTAAAATTTTGAAGAATTTTTCTTTTTGAATTGGCACATTTTCAATTTGAGGGATCAAGCGCATTATCCTGAAATTTAAATCTTGTAGATCAGCGCTATTTCACACAAACGTTTTGACCTCAGCTCATACAATTTCTTCAAGTTTAAAGTTTACCCTGATTCTCCTGTTTTAATGAACTTAATTCCTATTGTGGTTCCAGGGAAGCATGTAGAGGAGAAGTTGGTTTTAATTATATTTATATTCAGTAATTAGAATGTCTGGTAAAAGTTAAAGTTTTACTAGGGGAATATTCAAATCCCTCAAATTCCCCCCCCCGTACTTTTTCTTTTAGATAATTCCTTGTTTACCCTCTAGGTATTCTCTGTTCTAAAATTATCTTCACAAATTTAAACTAATTCTAAATGAAATTAAATGAAAATGTTGGTTGTCAAGTACGAGAGAAAAACATGTGAATCATATTTTCGTAAATGTCCTCGAAAGACTTTTTTGACATCAACAGTCATGAACCTTTTTCTGACCTAAGCAATTTATGACTTTTTTGTGAACCCTGCTTTATCTAACAAATGCCATTGGAAATGCTCCCCTCTCCGTTTTCTTTGCCCCCACCCCTCCACCATTGGAAGACGTAGAAACAATATTTAATCTTTATCATAATTTTAAAGATCAATTTTAATATTCATCGTACCTTATGAATCATCTATATTACCTTACCATCCCCCTCCCTTCTTAATACTCCTCCTATCTTTATCATTTTTCCCTTTTTCATTCATCCCGCCCCCTACAAGTTATATCTTAATTTTTCTTATTTATTAACAAGAATTGGTAATTATCAGTTTCTCTGAAAACTATTTTAAGCAATTTAGACTTAAACTTTACAATTGAGTTTTCATCCAAATATGGTTGAACTATTCATAATCCTCAGATTTTAGTCAGAAACCTAGGATTGTATTTATATACATAATATTGTAGAGGATAAACATTAGGATTAAGATTAAGTGGATTACAAATATATCGGTATGGCCTCGACTGCCCCCTACGGCCTCCCTTTAGAGGAATGTGTAACCTCGCTCAATGGCATTCATCCCTTTAGATAGATAGATAGATAGTATAGATATATAGATACATATGTAGATAGATAGATAGATGGATGGACATGTTAGATAGATAGATATATATTCATATAGAATGATAGCTAGATAGTTCTCGGCCAGATACTATGATATTGATCTGAGGGAATCAACCAGAGGGAGGGGGAATTGCGAAGGTAGGGGGAAGGTGGGGATAGTGATTGGGAATAGAAAGATGAGACGGAGTAGGGAGGGATACATTCATATTGAGGCGGGAACAGGAAAAAAGTGAAGTGAAAAAGGAACGATAGACAAGAAATGTCAACCTAAAGATCTCTGGGGAAGGGAAACAACTATAAAAGAATATAAAAAGAAAGAAAGGAATGAAGATTAAAGAAGATAAAAAGAGACGGGAAAGAGGAAAGGAAACTGGGGGAAAAGATACTGAAAAAGAAAGGAAAATATAGATAAAAGAGATGGGAGAAAAGAAAGGGGAGATTAACGAGATGGGAAAAAGGAGAGATAAACGAGATGGAAGAAAAAAGGGGAGATAAACGAGATGGGAGAAAAGAAAGGGGAGATAAACGAGACGAAAGAAAAGAAAGGGGAGATAAAAGAGATGGGAGAAAAGGAAGGGGAGATAAAAGAGATGGGATAAAAGAAAGGGGAAATAAAAGAGATGAGAGAAAAGAAAGGGGAGATAAAAGAGATGAGAGAAAAGAAAGAGGAGATAAACGAGATGGGAGAAAAGAAAGGAGAGATAAACGAGATGGGAGAAAAGGAAGGGGAGATAAACAAGATGGGAAAAAGGGGAGATAAAAGAGATGGGAGAAAGGGAAGGGGAGATAAAAGAGATGGGAGAAAAGAAAGGGGAGATAAACGAGATGGGAAAAAGGGGAGATAAAAGAGATGGGAGAAAGGGAAGGGGAGATAAAAGAGATGGGAGAAAAGAAAAGGGAGATAAACGAGATGGGAGAAAAGAAAGGGGAGATAAAAGAGATGGGAGAAAAGATGGGGGAGATAAAAGAGATGGGAGAAAAGAAAGGGGAGATAAAAGAGATGGGAGAAAAGAAAGGGGAAATGGATAAGAGAGAAAAGACAATATTTACCATTCCGCGATGAAAATAAAGGAAAGATATAGAAAGATGTGGTCAGAGGTTTTGATATATTTGGCATATAATGTTGGAGGGTGGGGTGCTGAATGGGAGATGGCAGAGTGTTGATGGGGGGAGGGGGTAAAATGAGAGCTAGGGGGAGCAATTACATGCACATCGGACAATTATTATAACAAACATAGGAGGATACCATGCTACCAAAGATATAGTTTTAGACAAAAATTTTATATTTGAAAAGTTTAGCTCATAATACCTTGATATTGGGGCCAGCTAAGCCGGGTTTAACATCAAAGTTTTAAAATATCAAGCAAGTCATTATGAAAGTTTACCCTTAAATGAATATTCATGTGACTTTCCACTAACAGATTGGCACAACACAATCCGATTTTCTTACTAGTGCTGGGAGAGGATATTTGCTTTCAAAAAAGCTTGAAAAAATGTAAAAATTTAAAAAGTCTCGTGATAATTGCGTTTACAGTCTCTTTTAAACGATTGTGTATAACAGCTGACAGGATTTCTAGCTCTCATCAACTTTTTATTCATACGTGAGTTTAAGTCTTATTGTCTCCGTCTGATTTAATGTTTTTAAGCCCACCATAAAGTGTATTTTTTCATGTTGTCAATTGCAAATATTGGATTCGAAATTTTTGTTACCATTTTCTCTTGATTTATATCTAGTCGTGGGCCTGGTCCACTTAACCAGTAATTTTGAAAAATAGTTTTCTTGTATTTTTAGCAAAGGAATTGAGTCTTTGCCACAAACTCTGAATTTATAATCCCTATATCTTTGGAACCCAATGTTGTACATCTTTGATATTTCAAACTTATATTATTTGATCTAACAGAATTCATAGTTTGAAATATCTAAGGTCTACGACATCGGAATCCAAAGATATAGGATTTAGAAAAGCAGATTTTGTGGCAAAGACTCAATTCCTTTGTTACATTACCACGTAGCCGTAATATTCATTTTACTAGGGATTTAAAACATTTAGGTATAGGTTTAGGTTAAGGTTTAGGTTTAGGTCTAGGTTTAGGTCTAGGTTTAGGTTTAGGTTCAGATTTAGGTTTAGGTTTAGGTTTAGGTTTAGGTTTTGGTTTAGGTTTAGGTTTAGGTTTAGGTTTAGGTTTAGGTTTAGGTTTAGGTTTAGATTTAGGTTTAGGTTTAGGTTTAGGTTTAGGGTTAGGTTTAGGTTTAGATTTAGGTTTAGGTTTAGGTTTAAGTTTAGGTTTAGGTTTAAGTTAGGTTTAGGTTTAGGTTCAGGTTTAGGTTTAGGTTTAGTTTAAGGTTTAGGGTTACTTTAAGGTTTAGGTTTAGTTTAAGGTATAGGTTTAGGTTTAGATTTAGATTTAGGTTTAGGTTTAGGTTTAGGTTTAGGTTTAGGTTTAGGTTTAGGTTTAGGTTAAGATTTAGGTTTAGGTTTAGGTTTAAGTTTAGGTTTAGGTTTAAGTTAGGTTAAGGTTTAGGTTTAAACCTAGGTTTGAATGTAGATTTAGGGTATGTTAAAATTTACGTTACTTCCGGTTTAAATTAGGAAAAAGAAAATATAAAATTTTAGGTTTAATGTTTAAGGTCTTCCAACAGGTTTAGGATAATAAATAGGTTGTATTAAAGGTTTAGGTTTAGGTTATTAGCCCGGATAGAAGGAGAATAGACCACCCTGCCTGCTCGCCCTCTGCTCGAACCAATGTATAATTTTCACCAAGTTTTTCAGCTAATTGGACCCCAGCTACCCCCCATAATGACTTCATGGCTTGGAACAAAGCAATAGGCTCAGAAAATTGTTAGATAATTTCCTCCTTGCTAAATAGATCATTTATCTTGTGCTTGTATAGAGCTTTTCAGTTCTAACCTCTTGGGACTTCAGATGTGCTTTCAAGGGATCTTTTAGTAGCATGACTGATTCTCAATAGTACCCTGTAATCCTTGAAAATTAATAATTTTCAATTATGGTTTCTATTTAAAAATAATCCGGGTTTTGTGCAGTAGAGATAATGAAAGAAAATAACCGATTTTACACTTTTCAAGAAGAAAAACGTGACAATAATCCAAAATGCAACTCTTTTAAATTGAGGATTATATTTAATCACATTGACAGTCCCTTCTAAGTTGTTGATAACGTAAAGTCTGATTTGCATTTTATTTAACATTCTTGAAGTCAAAAGATCTTTAAAAATTAGAACTAAATGAAATAAGTTAATTACATGAGACATTTGATCTAAGCAAATCTGAACCTGTCACAATCAAACTAACACTGGCAAAAATGCAGATGGAGATTTAAAGACAAACAAAACATAACAGTTAATAAAAAGAGTAGATAAAAAGATAAACAAATAGATAGATTTAGATTCGTATTTAGACACTTTGTTAGCAAACCCTTAAACGTATTATTTTTCAGATGGTTCTCCGGCTCCTAGTCCTACTCCAACCCCCGACACAGGATCTCTAGACCCGGAGAAGGAATCTCCGACAAAACTTACTGAGCAGAAACCATTCCGAGGTTTTGACATAACGTCCTTGATTAGAAAAGACGACGATTACAAGCCAAATCGTCCCGAGGGCCGAACCCCACCTTGTGAGCCTTGCATAAGTCCGAATGGTCGAGTTAGAACTCCGTCTTCTCCCTCCCCCTCCTCCCCTCCCTCTAATCCTTATTCTAATCTATTTAACTCTGGTCTATATCAACAATACCTAACCCAACTCCTCACAAACTCAGGAGTATCCCCAGCCATCAATCCTATGCTTCTCCAAGCACAGTTAGCCATGGCAGCGCAGTCCAACCACGCCCACCTCTTGGCAAATTACAATGGATCCGCCTCCTCACTTATATCTGAGAGATTGAAACAGAACAGGTTTAGTCCTTATCCTCCCTCGGTTTCAAGTCTCAGTCCAACCTCACATTCTTTACTCTCAACCTCTCAACCTAGCTTAACCTCCGCCTTTAAGTCCTTATCCCGTCAATTCCCCGCCAGTCCACCGGTCTCTCCGCCGCACAGTGTCACACCTCCGATGGATACGTCTCCCCCCTCCCAGAGCAGTCCTATAACCGTCAAGTCGGAGATAGATACCTCCGAACCCGTTCCCAGTGAGATCAAGAACATTGAGAATATGATCAACGGATTAAACGGAAACTGTGAAGGACGATTCGGACTCTCTCATGATTCTAGGATATCATAGGACAAGTAAACTCCTGGATATCATAGGACACGTAAACTCCTGGATATCATAGGACACGTAAACTCCTGGATATCATAGGACAAGTAAACTCCTGGATATCATAGGACACGTAAACTCTTGGATATCATAGGACAAGTAAACTCCTGGATATCCTAGGACACATAAACTCCTGGATATCACAAGACAAGAAAACTCCTGGATATCCTAGGATACGTAAAATCCTGGATATCATAGGACAAGTAAACTCATAGATATCCTAGGACAAGTAAACTCGTGGATATCCTAAGGCAAGTAAACTCCTGGATATCCTAGGATAAGTAAACTCCTGGATATCCTAGGATAAGAAAACTCCTGGATATCGTAGGACAAGTAAACTCCTGTTTATCCTAGGACAAGCAAAGTCCTGGATATCCTAGGACAAGTAAACCTCTGGAAGTTCTAGCAGTATTCTAGGACGCGTATCTTATGATATCTGACATTTTAGGAGGTATCCTAGGATATAGGAGCATTCTAGGATCTTAGGATATTAAAGTCTTTTATGACATACCCCAGGATTTCTAGGACATTTCATAAAAAATCGGAGTATCTTAGGACGTATCCAAGTATCCTTGAACACAGGAGTACATTTTAGGATTTATAAATGCAGGTTGTGATGGGTGCTCCAATGGTTTTTTAGCAATTTTCTAAGTTTTCCTAATTTTCTCATTCNCCCCCCCTCCTATCCTCGTCAATAATTGAACAGATTTAAATATAGTCGATCTCAATTTTAAAAAATGTACCGCATACTAGAGAGCCAAGGGCAGAATATTCAAATTTCCAGGAAAACTTGAAATATTTCTAAATCTGCTCTCTCTTCTCAATCAATCTTTATACCTTAGTTCTGCATTTTAAGATTAGTGCTTCTAATTGCAGGGGTCATATGTCAAAATATGTCAAAATTTTGAGGACCCATCCATCTTTTAATATCTACTAAAATTACAAATATTTTCTCAAACTGTGATATAAATAGACCCATTGCATGGACCGATGATAAGATTTAGAAGAAATGGGCCGAAGGCAGTGAAGGGGAAGGAGAGAGGGGGGGGGGGCTAAATCTTATCGGACCTTTTATCCAGTTCTCTCCCTTCAACGGAGCAATATGTTTGCAGTGTGCAATGTTTGATAATTGTTTTGTATCTCGAGAAATACATACAGTTAGAAGAAAATGTATTATTATTATGTTATATTTGTGTTTAATAAATATTAGAATATTCATTTCAATTTTTAATTTGATATCATTTTTGATGTTTTTTTAAAATAAAATTTATATTGTTTTAATAACCAAAGTCCAGAAATCCGAAACACCCTGTATATTAAGGACATTAGTACAGTAAGTACCCTGGGACACCCTGTATTAAGGACATTAGTACAGTAAGTACCCTGGGACACCCTGTATATTAAGGACATTAGTACAGTAAGTATCCTGGGACACCCTGTATATTAAGGACATTAGTACAGTAAGTATCCTGGGACACCCTGTATATTAAGGACATTCAAAGTGATCTGAGGACATCCAGTATATTAAGGACATTCAAAGTGATCTGAGGACATCCTGTAAAACTAAGGAAAATATAGTGACCACCCTGTATATATAAAGGTTTCCCATGAATATTGAAGTTAAAGCTCTCTCTCTATATTCATCCATATTATTGTATCAAGGAAACAGCAACAAACAACTCTTTCATCCAGATTATACATTAGTGATGTATATAATATACAGGGTTACTCACAACTGAAAGGAATATATACATTTTATACCTGGGAAAAATAAGCTAAAAAATTATTCTAATTTATTCTTTTTTATTTGTTAATCCATGTAATCGGAATATTTTTAGTTATATTTTCAATTCTATTTTGTGACAAAAATCTTTAAAAAATAGCCCATCAAAAAAATATAGAATATCAAATACAAAAAATATACATTAAGGGGGGGGGGGGCAATATGTTCAAAAATTAAGATTCACTGGAGTTTTAATCTGTACCTGTAGCTTTACACTCCATAGTCTAACTCTACACTCCACCAGAACTTTTCAATCTACAGTTTAGTTTACACTCTACACTCCTGTGGGATATCGTCGATTTCAGATTGATTGCGTATTTGTTGAATATGATCTGTTTAATACTACAACTTTTATACAAAATTTCATATATATGAATATTCGTATAGATTTGACACAGTTTTATATCAATTTCTCGAGACATGAACATCAGATAAATGTTTAATATGTATCGTTTAACGCCTGAGATTCTAAGGTTTCATCCAATACCCCCTTTAATTTTTCCTTTACAGTCCCTTTAAGTTTAAATTAAGGTTAACACTATCAGGATAAACTGATATGGGGATTAGAAAATTTAAGTTTGTGGCAAGAGCTCAATTCTTTTTTCTTAACTGACTTTTCCGACCAGTTTACTATCATTGGAAGTAATAGTTGTTAGCTTGTAATATATATTAGTATTATTAAATCTGATCCATTACCCCCGTGTCAGTAATGGTCAAGGGGGGGATTAGACCAACAATAATAAATCTGATTTTGGTCTGCAGCACAAGTGGGCGGCCATTGTTATATCACAAGATATATTTGTCGCACTATTGCCATCTATCGGTAGATTAGTGACTCATACCACCGTGGAGGATTCAGCTATTGTTGCCCTTTACAAGCTCGGGCGTAAAATATTTAATAATAGGGGACAAGGATTCAACCATCTGATGGAAGAGAGAGGAGAGGGGGGATTATGAGTGTAAGTATATGGTGTAGAGTGTAAGATGAGTGTAAGAATATGGTGTAGAGTGTAAGATGAGTGTAAGTACATGGTGTAGAGTGTAAAATGAGTGTAAGTATATGGTGTAGAGCGTTAAATGAGTGTAAGTATATGTGTAGTGTAGAGTGTAAGATGAGTGTGACTATATGTGTAGTGTAGAGTGTAAGATAAGTTTGAGTATATAGTGTAGAGTGTAAAGTGAGTGTGAGTATATGTGTAGTGTAGAGTGTAAGATGAGTGTGAGTATATGTGTAGAGTGTAAGATGAGTTTGAGTATATTTGTCGAGTGTAAGATGAGTGTGAGTATATGTGTAGTGTAGAGTGTAAGATGAGTGTGAGTATATAGTGTAGAGTGTAAATTGAGTGTAAGTATATGTGTAGTGTAGAGTGTAAGATGAGTGTGAGTATATGTGTAGTGTAGAGTGTAAGATGAGTTTGAGTATATAGTGTAGAATGTAAGATGAGTGTGAGTATATAGTGTAGAGTGTAAGATGAGTGTAAGTATATGTGTAGTGTAGAGTGTAAGATGAGTGTGAGTATACGGTGTAGAGTGTAAAATGAGTGTGAGTATGTAGTGTAGAGTGTAAGATGAGTGTAAGTATATGTGTAGTGTAGAGTGTAAAATGAGTGTGAGTATATGTGTTGTGTAGAATGTAAGATGAGTTTGAGTTTATGGTGTAGAGTGGAAGATGAATGTGAGTATATAGTGTGGAGTGTAAGATGAGTGTGAGTATATGTGTAGTGTAGACTGTAAGATGAGTGTGAGTATATAGTGTAGAGTGTAAAATGAGTGCAAGTCTATGTGTGTGCTGTAAATTTTCTGGTTGTCTAGTTCTGTCTATCTCAATTTCAATAGTTTCGTATTTCACCCAGACAAATACATTGTCATATTACAAATAACGATCCACCCAAAATTTTGTTGAAAATATTCAAAAATAATTATAATTGATTAGCGAGGGCTGGCAGGAGACAAAGAGGATGACAGGTTTTGTAAATAATACTTTTTCTATAAACACGAAAATAATGTCTATTGTATACGAAATATTTTTTTTAATCTAATTTTTAGATTTTTTTATGCGGGGGGGGGGTGAAAAATCCTAATTGAAATGGAAAAAAGGATTGTTGTTGTTATTCAAAGTAATCTTTTTATTGTACACATCAATAAAGTAGAATATATTGAAAATATAAGTCACTATTAAAACAATAAATTGGACCATAAGAAAAATTATTTACTGTACATACTTTCAATTATAAAATGCGATATCCAGAGAAAAGAGTATTAGTTTGTAAACTTTTATATTGTTTAATGTAATTTTGCTTTAGACAAATATAAATGATAAATATATTTACTGTACAAACATGTATTCTGGAATACACTATGAACTCGGTTTTTTCAGTGGCAAAAAAACTATATTAGTGGTTTGTTTACATTCAATTTAATTAGGCTTATGTCGAAACAATAATTTACAGTTTCGACATAAGAGAAGTAGAGGGTTTTTTAATAAATACTTAAAATAATGAATTGATTTACCTCGCTCTATGTTATCTTTAAACTTTATAACTTTGGACTGCGACTAAGGAATAAGGATTGAATACTGGGTTCAATTTCATGTTTCGGTTCAAGTCCAGTTTCGGTTGCGTTTGTTTACAAACAACCAATATACACAACTGTACAGCCACCGAAAGTGAGTTTATTGTATATTACGGAATTTGGTATATACTGATTACAAAATTCTCTTATGGCCTCACCTACATTGAATTTATGATGCTGAAAATCTTATATCTTTCATGGGTACCTTTATGAATAGGTCATGCCACTCTTTTAAATGGAGACTCACGTGAGAACAGTTCTTTTAAAAACTTTTCTTTTTATTTCAGACTTCAATTGTAAATTGGAACCCTTTTATTCAGCATATTATTAATATTTTATTTCTTATAACTAGACATAAGGCTTGCACAACAGAATTTAATTCTCAATTGTCAATAACTTTTTAAGAAGATTAAACACGTGTATGGTTTTAGTCTAATGTAAAAAGAATTGAGTTTTTACCACAAACTCTTATTTTATTACCCCTCTTTCTTTGCAACCCAATTTTGTAGACCTTAGATATTTAAAACTATGAATTCTGTTGGATCAAATGTTTTAAGTTTGAAATATCAAAAGTCTATACACCATCAGGTTGCAATGATATCATCATATATGGATTAGAAAAATTAACTGAAAAAATCCGAATTGGTTAAATTTTATGAATGCACAACTTCAAAGTGGGAAATATATTTTGATGTTTTTTACATCATCATCAGTCCTAGGACAGATTTGACCTTAAGAAGAAGCTAGTTGTGAAAATTTAATTTTGTGGAAAAAATTTAAAGGGACCGTTCACTTATTTGGGTAATTTCAGGGTAAACTAAACAGCCTATTCGCTATTGATTGGTAATAGTCTTACTTTTCAAAGACAACTGTGGCCGATTTTTCGTTCAGAATTCGAGCGCAAAGGGACGGTCCCTCTCTATAAACACTAATTGATGTTTTTTCAGTATGTTGTGAATCAAAATAAATTTCGAATATAAAATTAAACTGTAGTATCTAATCGTTAATTTTAAATGTCATTATTTTTAAATTTTTTTTGTTTTTGTTTTTTAACTTTCTATTTCTAAAAAAAACACTATTTTATTGCATTCAAAATTGTGTATTGCCTGTGTAAAAATCTGAATTGAACGCGGCATGAGAAATGAAAAGTTGTCTACATACGGGAACTAAATCTACAAAATCTACGAACCAAAATCGAGTAATGATTATTTGATTGTATACACATTTTACATGTTTTAATACGAAAAACGTAAATTTCAACTCAAATATCAAAAGTTTTCACATTTTAGTACATAATAACGAACACATAATGACATTAAAATATAATAAATTTAAATGTTATTGGGCTGCTGTTACTAAAAAAAAACATCAAATATTGTCTAGAGAGAGGGACCGTCCCTTTGCGCTCGTATTCTGAACGAAAAATCGGCTTATCCTCCGGCCACAGTTGTCTTTGAAAAGTAAGACTATTACCAATCAATAGCGAATAGGCTGTTTAGTTTACCCTGAAATTACCCAAATAAGTGAACGGTCCCTTTAAATCCTTCATACTTCAAGATTTTACGAGATTTCTGAAAAATATTCAAACAACTTATTGAAACCTAATTTTTCTGAAAGCACTTGGTATTTAATCAAATCGTTGACCACACGCTTAATTAATTCCTCTATAATTAAATACCAATCAAAATAACTGTCATCAAGTTATAAATAAAGAGAATTAGTTGATAAACAAAATCAGACAGAAAAAATGTTTTAACATCATGAAAACATAAATTTTACTTTTAACGTCTAATCTCATAGCTGAAGGTAAAATATAAAAGCGGTTTAGTCATCAAATTCTCTTTAACCCTATCCTTGCTGGGGT